ACATTTGTAATGCGCCCGGAATGTCTATGATTCAATTTCGGCTTGCGTGAAATGCACTGACTGAATGACTCACTTTTATGGAAAAGTTTCTTTTTTTTTTTCTCTCACTCTCTTTTGTTCATTATTATTATTATGATTTTAAATTGTGTTACGGAAACGACTTGTTCAAAATTAAATTGGTTGTTTCTCAGTTAGATTTCACCGATATACGAACAGAGAGAAAAAAAAAATAAATGCACACCGATAGATTTCATGTCACTTGAGATAGATAAATAGACAAATCAGATAGACAATCGCACGGGTTATCGCCACACAAAAACATACGACAACACTCTAGAAATCTCTCTCTTTCTCTCTGTGTGCTTGTATGTGTGTGCGCACCAATTTTTATGGAATATGCATCGAATGTTTCCCAATTTTGTATTTCGTGTGATGGTTTTAGTTTTTTTTTTCTTTTAGATTGATAATAATTGGTCGTGTCTCTTTTTGATTTTTTTTTTCTTCAAATTTTAATGACAGTCACATACACACTTTGAACGGCACCATCTATTCACTTTTTTTGGACTATGTGTTTCATCGCTCGTTCTCTCTCTCTTATTATGTGTGTTTCGCCGTGCTCACTCAAGATCTCACTTGTGTATATTCATTTCTTCACTCTTTTTTTTCCAATAGGCGAATGATGTTGAATGAGAGAGTCGAAAATCAATGGAGACTCAAATGCATTTGTTGAATTGCCCACAAATTTTTCACATAAATCGTCCCGAAATAAAACAATTCAATTTTTAGCACATAAAATAAAATAAAATGTTGCTAATCAAACGCAAACGTGAACACAAAATTTATGAACATATATATCTATCTATACATATATATGTTGTGTGGATGGAAATTGAAAAAAAAAAACAACAATTCGTTCGCTGATTCTTTTTACTTCTATTGTGTTATTTTTCATGAAGCATCCGTAGTAGCATACAGCTTGTCTGACTGTGGTATTTTGTGCATTAACAGGGCGCGATCACAATATGGCTGACATATACACACCGACACCGACACCGCACATACACAAACACACATACATCCATACGAAGCATATCCATCGGTCGAGAAACGAAACACACCAACACACTCCACCGTCCTATATTGTTTGTGTGTGTGTATTTCTTTCTTATACGCTCTCGCAAACCAACCGTTCCATTGAGTAATGACGAACGGTTCGTGTGTGCGTGTAAGTGTGTGTATGGGTGCGTATATGTGCTTACCTGCTTGTGTGCATGTAGTGGTAGTCTTAGGAGTATTACCGAGATTTGTTTTAGTATCCGTCAATGATAATTTCGACCAAATGACAACATTCTGTTGATAACTTCACGACTATTCCGATTCGTTATCGTAGCTCATAATCTTTTTTTGCTTGGGTTGATTTCTTCTTTTAAAATCTTGATTCAGTTTTTTTTCCCTGAAGAAATTTCTTTTCTCAAGAAATTTTTGATTTCAATGGCAAAATTGAATGGTTTAATTCCGCTCAATTAATGAATTATCAAAATGAAACGGATGAAACGGTGTAGCGGTGGTAATTTTGAATTGTTGCACAAACTAAAATGCCGACTCTGCACTGCATTCACATCATCATTCGAAAATTATTTCTACGGACAATCGCTTGCTCAAAATGTTGCACTTATTTTGTGTTTTAGGAATTTTAACAAGAGAATCGAATCGAAATTTGAAAATGTTTGTATTCCAAATATTCATAATTTATTGTTGTTTTGGTGTTTATGAATGAAATGCAGCATTCGCTTTGAATGGAGACGGTTCGCAGCTTTTAATAAGAGCTATGCAATTGAAAAATAAAGCAAGTTTTCTACAAACTTCAATTGTGTGAGCGAATGAAACAGAACATTGAACACCGACAATTATGTGTTGAGTTTACGTTCAATATAAAATTATTACGGTCAATGAAAATCCTAAGAAGATTCAATGTAAAACCAGATTTGAATGAATGAAATTCGATTTGTTGTAGAAAAACAAACATTCCGATGTAATGGAATGTGTTGCATTGGGCGCCGTATGATTTCGAAAGTGATCGATGCCAATTCGCCGGAGGTAAGTTTCTCTGCCAACCATATTCAACCGTTTTCCCTAGATGTCTCCACCATGACGAAATTTTGTGGAAAATATTTGGATCGAGGCGGAGGAAAAAAAAAATATGCTCGCATTATTCATTCTTAAGCTATATTTACATAGAACAGAATTGAGAGCGCACAAGAAGAAGCGCATATTTTCCTTAAAAAAATATTCCATTAAACTGTCCTGAAAAGGAATTTCCAAGCGATGCAATGCTCAATGGAGTGTTCAAAGTTTTGTGATATGAAAATTCCAACTGTGCACAAACTTGAGCAGAAATTATAACAAACTGTATATATTCCGGATGAAAACAATTTTTGCATTCCAGGTGAATGCAAATGAAAACAGTTGCACAGTGCAAGCGAAAAAAAAAACGAAGAAAAAATATTCAGCAGCTTACTACTCTCTGTAGTAGTTTATGTTTCATTGTTGTTGCTGTCTTCGCGCATATCGTGCATAAGAAGTGCTTTGCGCTGCACAACTGCATAATGGTTCGCTTGAATTACATCTCCTTTGCATGATCTGCATAATAAAGGAAAATTATTTATTGGTGTTGGCTACTTGCAAGCGACAAAATAACAACATTGTCTCTTGCTCTCTCTATATATATCTTTGCTACACAATGCAGAGCAAGTGATAGACAAAACAACAAAGCACACACGGTTGGCTCATAATTCGAGAAAATATCTCGATTCACATTAGTGCCAAAGCTTCATTATCAGTGTGTAAACAATAATGTTCTGTGGCCACTTTTTTGGGCGTATGCCCTCATCTCTCTTGTGCTGAATGAATATGCCTACTTAACGTTGCCAACATGTGAGCAAATATTTATTGATCGTTGAAATCTTTAAACAGATTGATGCACCCGAAGAGCCAATTAATTACATGAATTTCCTGTTAGTTGGACACTAACCGCACACATGTGTATAGACACTTAATAAATGCCACTTATTCTTGTGCGCATTCGTACCAAAATGTTACAATAATATGGTAAATAAGATCGTGAATAAATTCACTGATACAACAATATTTCGATGTGGCCACAGTATAAATAAGTTTTTGCACGCATCTTCCCCCATCCCGCATTCGTTAAACAATGGGGAGTTGTATCATTTCGTTGCAGTGCTTGCTTGCTGGAAGACATAATCCAAAATGTGAACCACCTGAACTGAACACAAACTGATAATATGTCGTGTTTACAAATCGATAGACAAATTGAGGTAATGTGAATGTATGTATAGTTGAAAACCTAATTTACAGCCACGGACAATGGATTGTCGACTCTATTTTTCGTGTTTTATCGGTGGCAGGTGGCCATTTCGATACGTACGTGTTTATTTCGATGCGTGTATTCCATGCATAAGGTGAACACGAGGCACGCACAAAGAATTCGGAATACAAATAGACGTAATTATATCGGCGGATGTACGGAATAGAATAAACACTGTTGATTGGAATGGAGCAACACTGGATAACACAGATGTTCACTTTAGTTGGGTGTGGGTGTGTGTGCGCTTAAACGCGAGTCCCGATGGCCTGCAGTCAAACAGCCTTAAGCTAATCTACATACTTGTGTGGAATTTTGAAATGAAATCGATTTCGATTTCGATTCAATGTAGAAAAAAAGGGACGTGTTTCATCGAAAACCTATCAATAAAACTAATCGATGCCAACAATCGGACGAAACGTCGAAGGTTTTCCTCTACTGTAAAAGCAACGACTGAGAAATTGTTTTGAAATTATTCAAGAAGAAGGAGACGAAGAAGATAAAACTTCCATGAACTCACCCACACTCCCATCCATTTCTCGCTCTCGCTCTCTGCATCCATGTCTGATGATGGAATTCAAATGGTAATAATTTTGCTCAACATCAGTAATTAATGATACACATTGGCTAAAATATATCCCATCCAGTTTTGTCATTAAATAAGCAAGTTTTGTTGTTGTGTGCATTGGAAGAGAGATTGGCGCTTGTGGCAATGATGAAACAACAATAAGGTGAACGTTTTAATAGAATATGGTCATATTGCGAAACAGCTTTGTTGAAAGTGTGAGAATTGACACTCGGACAACGTGAGATACGACACACACACACACACAATCGATGGAAAAATACCATACTAGGTGTTACCATCAAACAAATTTAGATACTGTCAATTTATAAATAAGGAGGCCATTTTCTAAGGAAAAGCTAAAATAAGATCGTTTCACTAATCATAAGATCCTATCAAATGAGCCGTAGAAACCAGAACGCTTCAAATGTAATTAATAAAATTTGAACAATGAACACCTGTTTTTGTGACCATAAAAACCCGATTCGATGCAATCGGCTGTGTCGATGCAATATTGCTTCTGAAAATTATCACATTTCATATACATACCAAACATGTCACACCACACGTACATCAATCAAAAACACAACATTTCCAATCCAAAACTGGTACACATCGTGCGTAGGGAACTCAATATAACAATAAACAATTGAAATAATCTTAAAGGAAAATTATTGTGGTTGATTATGAAGCCGAAGCGCATCAATATACACAAATTGAACGCCAACGGTTGATTGAATGGGAGGAACCCAATTTGAAAAACAAGAAATGAAACTCGTTAAATTGGTGCTAATTTATTGTAAAATCTTAACATCTAATCAATTTCAAAGGCAAATATATTTCAAATCAAATACAATCGATTGACAAAATGGTTTGTTTCATCCAAGGTGCTCATTCGTATAATTCTTGTCTTCTGATTCTACAACTTTACAACTTGATCACGTTTTTTATAGTCTTTTTTTCTTGTTCCATTGAAATACATTCTTTTCTTGTGAGTTTTTCTCTCCTCCTGCTCTGCTCAAAATGGTAATCTGCTCCACCCGCTTTGATTTAGAACGCTTTACATAGATTCTCTTTGGTTTTTGGTGTCAAAATTGAGAATTGTAACAAAACTAATTCATAAGTTATAATCGTGCCCACAACCTAAAGAAGAACAATGGAAGAGAAGGAAGAGAACAGCGATTTGGTTTCGGTTCAATATAAATGCGGAATTATGGGGAAAAAGTTCCAAAGAATCGACGAACCGAAAGAATCAATGGCCGAGTAAAATAAAAGAAACGCATTCCGGTTAATCCAACTTTAGTGTTCACAACTTGCTCGAGAAAACGATTTGCCTGCCGATGATGACGATGAGATGTTAATATGTTGATGATGGGAAAATCAATGGCAACCATGTTGAAAATCAAATTTGTTCTATATTCGATACTTACTTCCGAATCGTAGGCATCATTTGGTATGGCTCGAATAATTCGAGCGGGTTTCCGTGATTCATCATTGATACGGGCGGCCGTCAGTGAAACCAACAAAGTACGGCTTATCATAAACAATAATGTAAACCAGAAATACACCATCTCCGTTACTGTGTCTTGTGTTCTGTTCAAAATCAAGTTTTTTGTTTCTCTCAATTCATTTCAATATATTTGGAAATTCGATTTTGAAATGTCATCACACACATCACAGTGTGTGTTCAGAAAAGGAATTTACTTACTGAAAACTGTGCAGCAACAGCACTAAAATCGTATACAAATTACTTGCTACTGAAAATGCAGTAATTACCGAAATTCTATCATCGATTTTTGTGATTATCGTTAAAAGTGATGTAAAATTCTCTCTCTGATTGCACCAAAATGCTTTCGGCATTTTCTGTTTTTTGTTGTGTGCACCAATGTATGCCATTTTGAAGTAGAATTTAGAAAAGAACACACAGTGCAATTTAGTTGATTCCATAATGGTTTTCATTTTTAAGTAAAATTGAACTTACCATGCCTTTGTATTGCTTCAAGTGCTCGTTAAATTGGTTAAAACGTGTCGATAAGCAAATGCTGATCGAAATGATGAAAATATCCATGAATGTCCATAGAAATGTACAGTAATAATTGAGCAATTCCGATAGAATTCCACGAACGCCATTATCATACTTGACAATGGTATAGACTTGTGGCCAAGACTGTTTGAGATAACCCTCAACGCTGGTACTATTCGTGCATAGGCTAACCCGAAATACACCAACAACCATGCACAAGGTATGCTCAACTAGTGTAATGTGTGAAAGAAACGAGGAAGGAGGAAAAATGTCGCTCATTATTTTGTAAATCGATTGGTGAAAATTCAATGAGTGCAGTTTTTCATGTGTGCCACTGCTGCTGCTGCTGCCACTGCTGCCACTGATATACTCAACTCAATAGAACCGTTGTGATGAAGATGGCATGCAATTTAATTTGGTTAAAAAGTTCAAAGTTCCTCTTACGTCCAACATAAGCGGGTAACGTTTGCTCGGTGCGCTCCCATTCTTTCATCAAATCGGGCCATTTCTAGAATAAAATCTTTTTGTATGTTCATTTTTTCTCCATTGGGGAATCGGTGGAGCGATTTATTGCCATCCAAATAGAAAAAGAAAACCAACCTTTGCCAACCATAAAAAGTATGCAAACACCATGAACTTGCTGGAAAACCAAATAATCGGCTCTGTTCGATACGAGATAAATCGCATTTAATGTCTTAATGAAATGTTAACGAGCGAAGAACGTGCGTGCTTTTTCCTCACTCTTTCTACACCGCATTTTCGGTTTTTCTCTCTCTCTCTCTCTTTTTAATTTGTATTGGATTTCGATTACGATTTCATTAGAATCAGAATAGTGGTGATTATTCCTCGAGAAGAGGGCAAAAAAATCACTATTTCGAATGGTAATGAAATCGAAATTATCCGTAATGAAATACAATATACATATATGTGTGAATGTTGGTGATGATGATGATGACGGACACATACCTAAGATGGACATCGATATTGGATTGGTTGCTGCCCATCTCGCTGATATGACAATCATTATCGCCAGGCCGCACAGCACAATCGACGAATGCATTGTACGCAAATTGAACCACTCAAACTTGAGATGCTTAGCCGATTTCGATGATATACCTGAACACGGCATTATGGCAAAGATTTGCCCCAACAACAGCACTTATCGAGCACGACACACACACACATACGAATATTATTTACAATTCCGAGATTGATACGCAGCAAAAAAAAGAGATTGATAATCATGATCATTACCTGGAAACAATGCAATGTGTGACGTGGTATCACGGTTTATCTTCCGATTTAGAGCGTCATTCGGGAAATGAACACTTTTCGTCACTAATTGAAACGGAAATTAAACTCAACGAGAAATAAAGTCGGGATGGATAGCGAAACAGGTTTATTTTCTACCTTGTTGTGGCATGCTCAATGTGAGTGTTGGCAAAATCGACGGCCGAAATGCTGGTGACTTATTCCTGGGCAAATTTTTTTGATGATAAAATGAAAGAAAACAAAAAAAAACGAAAAAGGGAGAAAAAAAAGAGAAAACGATTTTTTTTTTCTGATAAATAACCTAATACGCACTTAACCCTCATTATCAATTTTCCCTTGGACCGAACTCAATTGAAATTGAAAATTGGCTCGAAATAAAGTAACACACAACAACAACGGAGGAAAAGAAAAACTAATTTGCGAAATGTACCACATTGTTAGCGGCGTCAAATAGAACATTGTTCAATACGATTCGCTCGTGATTCCAACTCTTTTCGTGCGCTCCGAACCGAATGAAAATTGTACCCGAATGCGTTCGAATGAATGATTGAAGAAAAGGAGGAGCGGAGTCGAGAATTGAAAATGGGCATACGTGTGTATGAAGCATGTGAAGGATCTGAATACAACAGTATTACAATACATACACTCACCGATACAAAATTTCGGATGATAGTGCAAAGTCCGTGTCAAAAAAACGTCTCAAAATAATTGAATCCATCATTGTAGTCCCTTTGAATGAATTTTTTTTGGGGTTTTGTAAAGCCATCAACGAACACATTGCCTAGCTATGGTTCGAACAACAGCAAAAAATATACTATTGAAATGAGACCATCCTTTGTCTCGTTGTCACTCCATTCGCCTGTCGTACATTTTTTCTATACACACATATGTATGTGCGCCAGGAGAGAGTAGATAGAAGAGGGAAAAACGTGAAAAATAAAAATAAATGAATAATTTTGTTGTTGTCAGATTTGTGTTTTCCACTTCATATGGGGCCAGGCCAGGGCCACGCTATCATCGAAATCTAGATTGGTCATAAGTACTGCCCAAACACCGCATTCGGCCTTTTCATTTTCGTTCCGCACCCACACACACACACACACACACACACATACACACACACACACATACACACACACACACTTACTGTGTGAAGAGAGAGAACGCCAAATAGAACAAAATGGAAAAGTTCCGTATGCTTATCATATCAAGAGCATTTCCCATCTCAGCAATTTATACCCGACCACCGGAATATCAGCAGCAATGAGCCGCTTTCTTACTTATCCCCAGCCTTTCGATGATTGTATATTTAATGATGTGCATTTCGTATTCACATTTTTTACTCAATCCTCACCACACTACCGCATGCAAATTTGTACAAAGAAAACCAATACCCGATTTAATGACACACTGTTTAATGTGACGATTTGACTATCGCGTGTTTCAGTCAATTTGCAAATTCATTCATTTAATGACAACTTGATGTGATTTTTCAATAAACTATGTTCATTTTTGTCAAATTTCCTTTAAAACGAGCCGTGATTTTTAAGGGATAATGGGAAAAAAAATGCGAGCGAGAGAAATACAGAAGGGAAAAAGGGAAAAAGGGAACAATTGGAGTGCACGATGAAATATTTCGAGATTAATCGAATGAAAATCGTTTCTAATTCGCCAATGTCATGCACATAATTTGTATTTTCCACTATTGGAATTTATGTCCGGGTTTAATAATGCTTCAATGGTTTTTATTTCCAACATATTTGTACTATAATATTTTTGTGCCATGTCGATTTTCCAAGCTCTTGACCAAATAAGGGGATTATGATTCATTGAATGGTATGTCCCATTTTCCCTTCTCCTCCTCTCTCTCTCTCTCTCTCTCTCTCTCTATGGCTGACTCATGTTCATGGTGCGTTTCAATAAATCGCTAAGATGACAAGCTAGTTTTTATGAAAGAAATAGTTCGAGTTCAGCCTATAAACATTCAGCAAAAGCATCGTTTTCGACAACAACAACAACAAAACGCACACACATACGCGCGCGCGCTCAGTCACGTATGTACGAAAATACCATATCACGGAAAAGAAGAAGAAGAAGAAGAAAGAAAACCAATCTGAAATGTGCGTTCGAAACGGTGAAAATAAAAGAATTTATATTATATAATATACAGACGGTAATCAAAAGGGTCAGAATGCCAGTTGTATCGTTTTATCAAATGAAACCGATGAGAACATGAAAGAATAATGGAATGGCAACGGATATTGAACAAACAGCGTCCGAATGAAAGTTTGACGAAAAATGACAGCGAGAGAGAGAGAGAGAGAGAGAGAGAGAGAGATGGGGCGCGAGGCAAGAGAAAGGAAAAGCGAAAAGACAATAATAGAAATAAAATTGAATAAGACGTAATATTCGATTTGTTCCAGATGAGATAATGCATTTGACCCCAAACACACGCACACACACATACATGCTGGTGAATGATTTGCCGAATTCCTCTATGTGCGAGTGAGTGTGTCATGCATACTCTTTGTGACCGATAACCAAAGCAAACAGTAATCATCTATGGACGACTAGGGCAGCCCAACACAACGCATATATTCTTATTGTGTGTGATCTCGAGCACAAACGCTTCAATTTCACCGAGATTATAGCTCTAGATTTTGGACACAAAAACACAGAGAGAAGAAAAAAAAATCGACGAAATCATCTCGATATATTGATATATCTATATAGACACACAATTTTTTTTATTAAGTTTCTGTTTTCATCTTTATTTCATCGAGCCTTTACGCTTGCTTTACTTGTGTGTGTGTATGTGTGTGCACAAAGTCAGAATGTGTACGTTTGAAACTTGAATCGTTTAGTGGAAATCAAAATTGCGGCACATTTAATACATACACAAATCAATCTTCATATCATTTCAAAGTGGATCCAGATGAGATCATGCAATGGCAAAGCGAAAAAATGCTAGTCCTTCCAAAAAAAAAGAAATCAAATCAAATGCGTGGCTTCATATAATGCGACATGTGCTCTGTGTATGCATATGACGATGTGAAGCTGGAAAATTTGTGGTGATGGCACCAACAGTAGTATCAACAGCACAAAGATTGTAGTGATTGTCATATACGCATCAATAAAATTTTAATAAAATTGGACCAAATATTGCCACCCAATTGATGAAGAAGTTCCACGTCATTCATCATTCAATGATTGGATTACTGTGCTCTTTCGCTCACGCACTGTTGTCGCCAAATCACAAGGCCCCAGCCAATTGACAAACGTATAATGTCAATAAAACTAAATGAAACTATACCATATAATCAAATTACGTCCTTTTCATAGCCATAGCCAAAGTTTGACACACAGACATTCACCGAATACCACTGACGAAATAAAATATAAATAAAATCACCAAAAATATGTCACCAAAAATCGATTGCAATACCAACTTCATAGAGTGTCAAATAGAATTTTAAAAAAAGTGTTTTGTTTGTACCGAAATTTTTTTTAACAAAATTGTGACGATTCGCAAAAGCTGTCGACATTGTCGCGCTTTTTTTCCATCGTTGCTATTGTGTATCTTTAATAATTGTTTTCAATTTCAAATTGTTTGTGCTGTTGTTGGAATCGAAAAAAAATGTATAATCGAATTGATAAGTATAATGTAATATCGCGATATGCGATCAATTTTATATCATCGTTTCTATGGAAATTCCATTAAAACCCAAGCGAAAGAGTACGATTTGGCTCTATCGTGACGATAAATTTCATCGTGGAATAGCGGCTAGCGCATGTACACAACACTTCTCTTTTCTCACTGCTGCTATGTTAAACATAGTAAACGGTTCACGCACACCGATACATAACTGTATGCGTGCGCCCTGGTGCTACAGTCATGTATCGGTGTGCGTGAACAGCATACTATGTTTAACACAGCAGTAGTGAGAAAGGAGAAGTGTTGCGTACATGCGCTAGCCGCTTTTCCACGATGAAATGTATTGTCACGATGCAGCCAAATCGTACTCTTTCGCTTGGGAACTAGCAATTTTTAATCGACAACCACTGTAATCGCCATAGCAATCGCAGCTATTGTCAGCGAAATGTGTGTGTGTGTGTTTTTCGTTCCCAATTTCGGAATTGGTGTGAATGCATCGATTTTTTTCTCTCTTTTTCTTTCTATCTGTGCTGATTTTCCAACTATCCTTCGTTTAGTTGAATCATTCGTTCGATGTCTTCTTTGTATATCATTTTTTTTTTCCCGTTGGTCATATGTGTTCGTGTAATTCCGTTCTATAGAACAAAGATTTTTCGTCTATCTAAGGATATCAATTCTCTGCGTTTAAATAACTACACAGGCCAGGACATTAAATCTCATTTATTTCGAAGCTTTTGTGGCTTTAAGCATTTTATACAAGGTCAAAAATGTGCGGCAGTCGATTTTAGATGCAATTTATCCATCCACTTCTTGTTGACTCTAAAACCGCGAGATAAATAATTCTTAAGTTGTCATAGAAATAAAAAAAATACATATTTTTGCACACATTATCGTCAGAATCGTGTATTTTAAGTAGCCAACAACTTCCAGCTCCACACACAATTTTTTTTTTCAATTTTCACGGTAAATTGGGTGAATTAACGGTAAAATTCAACTGCGAATTCGGCAATACGTCGACCGTAATATTCGATTTTTTTTACGGTTGGTAATTGTTACTTGGGTACGTTCGACGTTCCATGGAAATGGAATTTCAATAATTCGAGCAAATCTATTGAAAACCGAACACCAACCGAATATATGGATACGATTGAAATAAGAGCCGCTGAAAGGTTTCGAATTGGCTCGTAAACGGATTACAGAGC